ACGAAATTGACCTTATTGTCCGCATACCACTTCAGCACGTCCTTGGAGTAGTGGCATGAGGCCAAATCCGGCCAGAAGATTGTTGGGACGTTGTGGGCCTTCAGGAGAGGAAGCAGCCGCTTCTGGAGGCACTCTTTTATGTACACCTGTCCGTTCATCGTGTCCTGGGTCACGAAAGGTGCACTCCGCTTCCCGCACGTGCAGATGGCTTGCCAAACCAGGAATTTCTTCGCAAATTTGGACATCTTCTGAGTGCGGACATGCTCCGGAACGCTGAACTTATCCTTGGCCGTGAAAAACAGGTTGCCGGGGATCTGTTTGAAGTCGGCCTTCACATATGTTTCGTCGTCCATGATGCAGCATTCAACTTTCGTCAGCATGTTGAGGTACAACTTCCTGGCACGGGCTTTGGCGGACTTGTTCTGCTTCTCGTCGCGATTAGGGGCCTTTTGTACCTTGAACGTTCGAAGCCCAGCCTTAGTTTTGGCCTTCTGGACAAAACTTCGGCTTAGGTGCAGCTTCTTAGCCACATCCCTAACGGAGGCGTTCGGATTTCGGTTGAAGGCCCCAACTACGCGGTTCTGATTTTTGGTGTTGTACGGAATACTTTTTCCTTCACTTCTGGGCTTCCGATCGGTGGTCAACCGTTCCTCGAACCGCTTAATCACTCGCGACACCGTGGAATTCGCGATTCCCAACGTTTTAGCGATGGAACGATGCGAGAGATCCTTGTTCTCGTGATGAATGCGCAAGATTTTATCACGCACGAGCTGTTCTTTCGACTCCATTTCCGCGAGTTTTGATCACAGGACTTTAAAACTTGCAGGATGTAAATAATGCACTATGAACTAAATCCACCCAAATTTTCATTAAATTCTACCCAACGGTTAAAAAGTTAGAGCAATTTCATAGTGTGGCAATTTCATCGTGGACACCCTTTAGTAAAGCATCGCCCGTTCAACGTCAAAAGTGTTTTGAGCAGATACCGTCCCATAACATTAATCTACCGTGTATACAGTTTTCTCCAGACGAAGTTCAGAAAGCCCTCGATGAGCTTGATTCAACGAAAGGACCCGGAATAGACAGCTTGCCTCCTGTGTTTTTGAAGAACTGTGCCGCTCCGCTGGTGACGCCCATCGCTGCTGTTTTCAACCGTTCGCTCCAAGACAGAACGTTCCCAAATGCATGGAAAACGACGTCTATAGTACCTATCCATAAATCCGGAAGCTGCAAGTGTTTCATCAATTATCGATGTGTATCCATACTTTGTAGTCTCAGTAAAGTATTTGAGGAACTGATCCACACAGTTTTGTACAGAGCTACTGCACCGATCATCTTCAACAGTCAGCACGGCTTTATGGAGCATCGAACTTAAGGTGTTATGTATTAGCGATATCACGTAACTTAGAATCGAAGGAACAAGTGGATTCGGTTTATGTTGATTTCGCGAAAGCTTTTGATACAGTACCGCACAATCTCATCGCTGACAAAATGAACCACATTGGATTTCCGCCATGGATCACTGAATGGCTCTATTCATACCTGCCTAATCACAATGCTTTCGAGATGGTGAATTCCGCCCGCTCCAGGACTTTCAACATACCATCTGGCGTACCACAAGGCTCGGTCCTCTTGTTTTTATCATTTATGTTAATGACCTGTGTGACATGCTCTCATCATCCAAACTTTCTTTTGCCGATGATCTAAAATTTTTCCGTGCGATTGTTTCTCCCACTGACTGTGTCGCAGTGCAAGAAGATATACATCGTGTGATAGTCTGATGCGGTAACAACGGCATGCGCGTAAACAGCAAAAAGTGTAAAGTAATATCCTTGACTCGTTGCAACAACGTTATTCACCATCAATATTACATGGGGCCGGATCCTCTAGAACGTGCAAATTCCATCTGTGATCTAGGTATTGCATTCGAAGCTAAGGTTTAACGAACACATAAACATCGTAACTGCTAAAGCATATACTGTGATTGGTTTTATTCGTCGTCATGCTTCTGGTTTCACCGATGTTTATTGTCTCAAGACGCTATTCTGCTCGCTGGTTCGCAGCATTTTAGAATATGTTTCCCCGGTTTGGTCTCCATTTTACGTTACACATATCCTTGCGGTTGAAAGGATTCAGAAAAGTTTTATAAAGTTTGTCTTGCGTCAGCTCCCCTGGAATGATCCAATCAATCTTCCAAGTTATCCCGACCGATGCAAGCTGATGGATTTGGAATCCCTCTCTGCCAGGCGTGTTAAATTGCAACGACTGGTTATCTTCGACCTTATAACAGGCAACGTGGACTGTCTCGAACTCCTGGAACTGATTCCGTGGTAAGCGAGTTTGATTTTATTTCGACCAAACATGTGTTTAGTGCTAGAATAAGGGGTTTAAATTAAATTAGGTTTTAAGTAATCAGTCTGACGACGTACTCAAAGATGGTGAGCAAATAAATAATTAAATAAATTGCTGCCTGATAGCCCAATTCGATAGAAGAGCGAGTCTATCGAACAGCGATTGGACATAAGCCTGGACATAACGCGTATAAACTCGCGGCTCATGTTCAACTCTTTGAACCATGGTTTGTTCGACACCTGTGGGAGAATAGAATGTAACCATCTTCCCAAATCACCATGATTCCATTTTTGTTGCGAACTGATGAGGACTTGCTGACGAGCAATGGAAAAAAAATCGTTAAAGACGATTTGTCGCTCGAAAATATCGCCTTCCATAGCGCCCACCTTAGCCCAGAAACTAAGATGATAGTGTAAGAGCAATTAGATAAAGCACTCAATTTGGATCGAATTTCTGACAGGAAATACGAGGAGTGAACGAATAGCCTCTAATGAGCTGAGACTATCCGTAAAAATGAAATAATGGTCAGAAGGTAGTGAGGCAATTCGCTCTACTGCGTAAAACATAGGTGCAAGTTCCTCATCGTATACGGAGCATGGTTTCTGCAGTTTAAAGGAGGCGCTATGAAATTCATTAAATACACCAAATCCTATCTGTGTACTTGATTGCAAAAAATGAGGGAACTACCATCGAGCGATGGTGATCTGGTATTCCGTGGATTTCTTGCATTAAGGTCAGATCAATATTTACAGAAGAACTGTTGAAGTCTTGAAAGCAAGCACGGTTGAAATTTAGTAAAGAAGGGCCAACCTCCAGCGTCATGTACTCATAGTATGAATCTTGTTTGAGGATTTCTGTCGAGCAGCTTCTCAAAATTTTCTATTACCAATGGATTCATTACTTCACAACGGATGAGAAACCGGAAATGATCTGTTAGTACCTCGTAGTACCGTGAGTACCTCGAGACTCATCGTATGAGTCGAGTGCATACAGCTTAGCGCGATACGGTATTCGATCCATTCCAGCTTAAGGATGTGTGTTTTTGATGCGTAGCTGCTGTACTCTATAACCGATAGGATGGTTGTTCGGTATAACCTGATCAGATCTTCCGGGTGGGCTCCCCACCAAGTTCCGGTAATGGTACGAAGAAAAAAAATGCCAGTTTTTGTTTCAGATGCGCAGTATGTTTTCCCCATGTGCATTTGAAATCGAACCATTTGGACACCTAAATACTTAAAAGAAAAACTTTAAGTGATTGTTTTACCCATTAGCTAAAGCTGTAAATGTGCAGGATGATGCTTCCTAGAAAAATCAACCAACTCAGTTTTCTGCGGAGAGAAATTGTTTGTGTAGATAGGGGAAATGGATGGGGGTAATATCTGCCTAAATGCCCCTAATTTGGGCCATACATAATTTCAGCAATCGACTAAATTTTCAATAGCGACCAAAAATATCCATTATTACCGTCCCAATGACGCGTTCATTTAGATAAAATAGATAAATAGCAGATTTTTAGCGATGGGCCCAATCTTAGATCCATAGGCCAATATTAGAGCCATTTCCTTTATATGGCAAAATATATGTTCTAATCTTTTATCGAAATAAATTTTGTAAAGAATTTAAAATAGGGCCAACTAGGGGACTACTGGACCACCCAAAAACTGGAACACTTACCCATAGTAATATTCAGTGACCTTATGGTTCACTTCCAAGAGGAGAAAAGAAAATTGATCCTGGTTACCCACGTCGAAAACCCGACGTGGTAAATTCAAAATACCGCGAAAAAGTTGAAAATTGCCGTTTCTACCGTGTTCTCAAGCGCTTCCGCGATCCGGAAGGTTCAAAGCAAACGTCGTGCTGAAACTTTGGATCGGCAGCTGAGCTGAAAGGCGTTGAAGTCGATCAAGAGAAACCCAGGACTGCGGTGCCAGCCGTAGTACTGTCCGGAGGATCCGTCTACAAACAGGTTACCGTTCATTCCGTGCCTCCGAGCAACCGAACAAGACGATGAAGTAGTAAGAACACGCGCCCGGAAGTTGTACGACCGGGTTTTGACGGAGTACAGAGGATGTCTTCTCATCGACGACGAAACCTATGTCAAGATCGATTTCAGGCAGGTTCTCGGAAAAAAAGTTGTCTCTAACCACAGCACGGGGTGATGTCCCCAGCAAATTCAAGTTTGTTTTCGCCGATAAAATTGCCCGGAAACTGATGAAAGTCCAGTCCAGGGTGCGGCAGGTGATGGCTGGTCCGTGAGTTCATCCGTACGCCGTCGTAGTAATTTTGATCAAATTACATTTTTTTGCGTCAAATCAATCCCGAGAAACATCTGGTTTTAAGTGTCCGGATTCTAATTGGACCAGAGTTTAAGAGGCAATTGAAGATTTAACCAAAACATGCCTTTCGACGGCTCTATCTTTACTATTTTTCATGAATAGAATGTTTATAGTCTTGAAATTGACCATTGACTATATTGGCCACTCTGGCACCACGGGAATGCCCTCTGAGGAACCTGTAGTAGGGGACAATTACAGTTTTTCATTAAAACATGTCTTTATCAGGCTCTTTCTTTAAGGGTTTTCATGAATAGGCTATTTATAGTTTTGAAATGGATCGTTGGCCATATTGGCCGTTCCGGGACCACCGGAATGCTCCCGGGAGAGCCTGAGCAATTTCCATTAGCAGCTCCAGTGCTTCGTCGTGACTTCTACGTCGATAATCTACTAACTGGCTCTAACGACGCGGAATCTCTCGCCATTACCTGCAAAGAGCTTATCGCACTGCTTGCTTCTGCAGGACTTCCACTCCGTCAATGGTTTTCTAACAGCCAAACCGTTCTTGATGCCATTCCACAGGAGCTTCGGGAAACTGAAACTTTACTCGACTTGGACCATGAAGCCTCCGTCACAACGTTGGGTTTACGATGGGAGCCTTCTACCGATCTCCTTTCCTTCAAGCAACCGAAGTGGACGGAGTTTGCCACGTTAACGAAACGTGCAATCCTGTCACAAATCAGCAGTTTGTTCGACCCACTAGGTCTCATCGGACCGACCATTTCGAAGGCAAAGATTTTGCTCCAAGGATTATGGAAACTCCAACTCGACTGGGACGCGGCAGTCCCACCAGTATTTGTAAGCAATTGGCAGGAATTCAAGCAAAACCTCACCGTTCTCACTCAACTACGTATTCCTCGACACGTTCTCAGTCCAGGTTACGCAAGGCTGGAAGTTCACGGCTTCAGCGATGCATCAGAGGCTGCATATGGTGCATGTCTGTACCTCCGGTCGATAACATCTGCGGGATCCTGCACAGTTCGCCTCCTGATGTCAAAATCAAAGGTCGCTCCTATAGATACCAAAAGCATTCCTCGACTCGAGTTGTGTGCTGCTCTGCTCCTGTCCAAGCTTCTGGTTCAAGCCATGGACAGCTTCGATATTTCCGCCACGATATATTTGTGGACGGATTCCACCATTGTCTTAAATTGGCTCTCCGCAACACCGTCTACGTGGAAGACGTTTGTGGCCAATCGTATAGCTGAGATTCAGGAGATCACCATTCATGCTGTCTGGAATCACGTTCCGTCCAAGGACAATCCAGCGGATTTCATCTCTCGGGGCATGAATCTCGACGAACTCGAAAGGAGTTCACTGTGGTGGCACGGACCGCAGTGGCTTGGCACGTTAGCTATACCATGGCCTGCTAAGTACTCTCCAACAAAATCGTTACCGTCGGATGAATCAGAAGCTCGCAAGATCGTCGTACTTCCAGTCGTTGAAGATGAAACGACCAATGATTTAGTGTTCCGCTACTCCAGCCTTCGTCCGCTGCTTCGAATAGGCTCTCTCATACGAAGGTTTGCCGAGAATTGTCGGCGTAGCAAGAATCATCAAGATCCTCTTGTGGGGCCGCTCACCGCAACCGAAATCGATCAAACTCTACTCGCTTTTGTGCATCGAGCTCAAGAGCAGCACTTTGAGAAGGAAATCCGTCAACTTTCCACCACTTATCAAGTAGATCGCAAGTCCAAGCTCCGATACCTTCATCCACAGCTTGTGGACGACATTATTCGTGTCGGCGGTCGGTTGCACAACGCACAGATCCCGATCGAAGAGAAGTATCCGATCGTCCTCCCGGCCAAGCATCGACTGACCGAAATGATAGCGACCAAAGAGCACCAGAAAACGCTCCACGCTGGCCCTGGATTGTTGCTTTCGTCCTTACGTCAACGATTTTGGCCTCTTGGCGGTCGGAATTTAGTTCGCCAGGTCATCCACCGATGCATGACGTGCGCCCGAGCTAAACCGAAATCTCTCGAACAGCTGATGGGACAACTGCCTCCTGTTCGGGTCAACCAGGCGTACCCATTCCAGAATGTCGGCATAGACCTGGCCGGCCCGATCTACGTGCGCACATCGGTGAGAAACAGACGTACTCCGTTCTTCAAGGCATACATCGTGGTCTACGTATGTCTCGTAACCAAAGCCGCTCATCTCGATCTCGTGTCTGACCTCACCAGCGAGGCATTCATTGCCAGCCTTCGAAGATTCACCGGTCGTAGAGAAAAGCCTGCACAGGTATATTGCGATAACGCGACAAACTTCGTGGGGGCGAAGAGAGAGCTAGAAGAGCTACGGAAACTGTTCATGTCCCAGCAGCACAAGGAGTCGGTAGCGCGAGAGTGTTCAGAAAATGGAATCCAATTCCACTTCATCCCACCACGTTCGCCTTCGTTTGGTGGAATCTGGGAAGCCTGCGTGAAATCAGTCAAGACCCTGCTCCGCAAGATTCTTGGCAATGCACACCTCACTGAGCCTGAACTACAAACTGCTCTAGTGCAGGTGGAGGCAATGCTCAACTCACGCCCTATTACTCCACTACCAGACGATCCTTCCGACGAGTTCGCTCTCACTCCAGGACACTTCCTGATCGGCAGACCACTGAACGCAATGCCCGATCCTGACCAGCAGGACATTCCCGAGTCCCGCTTGACCCGGTGGAGACGAGTACAGCAGCTCACCCAACATTTCTGGTCCCGTTGGCACAAGGAGTATCTGGCTACACTGCAAAATCGCTACCGCTGGAATCAAGTTCTCGACAACCTCGCCGTCGGTTCCATCGTCGCCCTCAAGGACGAGAATGTTCCGCCACAAAAATGGCCTCTCGGGCGCGTGATCAGCATCCACCCTGGTACCGACGGAAGAGTGCGGGTCGCCACAGTAAAGATCAGTTCAGGAACAACCAAGCGTGCCATCTCAAAGCTGTGCCTACTTCCAGTCGAGATTGATCCTGCCATCGTAACTTCGAATGTGGTTCAAAACATCAGTAATTCTGTTAAATCGTCGTTAGAAGAAGACCTTCGCTTGAGGAACCAAGCCGCTGGACCAGCTCCCGGCCCTTGCTCAGGGAACAGAGCCGCCGGACGAGTTCCCGGCCCCTACTCGGGGAAACGAGTCGCCAGACGAGATCCTGGCCCATGCTCGGGGGAATCGAGCGGTTCCTGATACAACTGTAAAGAATCAAGCTCGCCATGTGGGTTCGGAGAACCCCATGGCTCGGACTTGACACTAGTTAAGTACCACCTCTTTCATTTCCTCCAACAATTCGCATACAGATGTCCCTTCTTTACAGCACACCATTCGATGCCAAATTGTTTGTCGCCTTCCGCCAATGAATTAGAAGCTGGAAGGAAGCCTGTTGCGACGAACTGCATAAACAAATCACCCTCCAGAATCTGTGATTCACCTCCATTGAAGAAGAGTCGTAGAAGAATTTTCCTTGCCGGTGAACGATGAATTCCCGAAATTTCATGGCGGCCGGAATGTTCGAAATCATTAATATAATTAAATTCCATGAACTTCAATATTCACCATAAAAACGCGCACTGCACCCGTTGTGCGCACGAATAGCACAGACGGGTGAAAACAGCAACGCACTTGCGCTGTCAAACCAACGCAACATAAAACATGTAAATAGTAGCATAGGATGTACAGAAAATGTAAATAAAAAATCAGTTGAAATCAGCATCCCGTCGCGTTTAGATGAAAGTTGCTCTACTTCCGTGTGTGGTGTCCGAAGTGCCTCGGTCGCGAAACCTCTTACACAAGTGAATCCGTGTTTTTTGTTGAGCTAATTAATTGCGGTGGAAGGTGAAAGAACCACAGCCAGGGAACTATTTCCACCGTCGTTTTTGTTGAAAAGAAAAGTGGTTAAGTGCTAAACACATACCTTTCGACGGCTCGAGAAATTTGTGGCATCGCGAGCGATAATTTTAATTTTAGTTTATTTACGCGGTGATGATGTTGGTTCACTCGCAACTATTTTTGAAAAAAATTAAGTGTTTTCGAACGAAAGTGTACCAAAAGTGCTTCTGAACGTGTTTCGTAGTTGGGTGTGGTGAAATTCGTGCATTCCCGGTTGATTTTGGAAATCCGTATCACAAAATTGCCCACCGATTCCTTTTTTTTGCCGTTCGACGACGACGGGTGTGCTTTAGCGAGAGTGATTTGATCCGTTTCTTTGCACGGGTGTGTTTTTTTGTAACTAGCGTAAATGTGCCTGCGATTTGCATTGAGTGTCGGAGATTGTAAGTAATCTGAAGGATGCCTCGCTGGATACGCCCAAGACTGGACGGGCAAGCACTAGATGCGACCCTCCTCCCAGATGACCATGGCAATACAGGAAGTATTGGTATCAGTGAAGTCAACCTAACCTCAATCTACCTGTTCAACAACTCTCAAAACGTAAACAAACAAAACAATATTGGTTCCAATGGATACAAATCAGTGAAACTAGAAGACCCTATACCTTTTGAAACTGATTTGATTGTAAACATGACCCTAAATAACGTTTTCAAAGTTGTTGAACAGGTAAAAAGTGAGGTTACGCGACGCCACTGATTGGTATTGGAATGTAATTGCTATTAGATATTTTGCAAACAGTGACAGATAGCGGACATGAAGTGGGGTGAAGTGATTTGGTGAGTACGTTCCAATTGAAGATTGTTGACAAGTGTATTTGTGGTGATGCAAATTATGGTTTAGATGACGCATGGCTTCAAACATTTTGTGTATCCAAATAAAGGGTGATACGGTCAAAATTTGGTCAAGGGAAAACGCGTGTAAATCGGTGAAATCGTTTATTTAAAAAATCAAATTAAATTTATTTTTCAAGTTCAATTAGTATAAAATTCAGGAAAAATATTCAGTTAGGCTTCCGCTTTTCCAAATCCGAATTGCCGGGCCTTACGTTTGACCCCTGCCATCAGATTTTGTACAGTCCACCTTCTTCGCCACAGAAAGCCAGTTTGCCTTGAACTGCTGCTCGCCCTTAGCAGTTTTTTTTGGTCTTCTTTAGGTTCCGCTTGACAATATCCCAGTATTTCTCAATTGGGCAGAGCTCTGGCGTGTTGGGAGGGTTCTTGTCCTTGGGAACCACCTGCACGTTGTTGGCGGCGTACCACTCCATGGCCTTTTTACCGTAATGGCAAGATGCCAAATCCGGCCAAAACAGTACGGAACAACCGTGTTTCTTCAGGAAAGGCAGCAGACGTTTATTCAAACACTCTTTCATGTAAATTTCTTGGTTTACAGTTCCGGAAGCTATGAAAATGCTGCTTTTCAAGCCACAGGTACAGATGGCTTGCCAAACCAGATATTTCTTTGCGAACTTTGACAGTTTCATGTGCTTGAAAACATCTGCTACCTTTCCCCTTCCTTTTGCCGTATAAAACTCCTGTCCCGGAAGCTGCTTGTAGTCGGCTTTGACGTAGGTTTCGTCGTCCATTACCACGCAGTCAAACTTCGTCAGCATCGTCGTGTACAGCCTCCGGGATCGCGCTTTGGCCGTCGTATTTTGTTTATCATCGCGATTTGGAGTCACTACCTTCTTGTAAGTCGATAGTCCGGCTCGTTTTTTGGCTCGATGCACGGTTGTAGACGATACACCCAGCTTATTTGCGGCATCTCGGAGAGAGAGGTTAGGGTTTCGCTTGAAACTACCGGCAACTCTCTTTGTCGTCTCAGCGGCTTCCGGTTTTTGATTTCCCCCCAATCCAGACTTCCTGGCTGTCGACAAACGTTCCCCAAACACTTTAATTACATTTGTAACGGTTGATTTGGCAACTTTTAGCGATTTTGCCAACTTTGCGTGCGAGTAGCTCGGATTTTCGCGATGCGCGAGCAAAATTTTGATACGCTGCTCTTCTTGGACGGCATTTTGACAACTGAAGAGTGAATTCCAAAATCAAAATAGGAGCAACATTCTACACACACACACCTTCAAAATGAGGGGTGTTCAGGTTTTTTAAATGCAAAATTGAAAGAAATACGTCAAGTTGATATTGACCAAATTTTGACCGTATCACCCTTTAAAACATATTACATACTAAATACGCACAGGGCATCGTCTGCTGACCATTGCCGCGGGTATATCGTGGGAGTCCCAGGTACCCGGTTCAAGCTTTAGTTGGCGGCGGTGGCTCTTCTTGACCTTCTATCCCCTGAGTAGTTAGTGTGAATAAGGGCGTCTATGTGATGTTTTGCTGTACCTGTTGTGGACATCTAGTGCATCCTGTTCCCTTAACTTGTTGAGGACACCCTGTCTTGCCTCAAAAGTTACCCTTTTTGAAGTACTAGTCTTCACAACATAAAGGGCACCATTATGGAGCATGAGATTTGATCAAATTATTCGCAGTTCTACTTGTCCAACGCCCCCGGCTGGGTGAGGGATAGAGGATGACACACACACACACACACACACCTTATGGTTCACTTCCAAGATCTTGTAGGTTAGCTTCAGGTTCCTGATTCCATACAACGAAGTCTTCACGGTATAGCTGCAGAGAACTTATGATCTAGTTCTTCAATTTTTGTTCAGACAATTTCATTAGCTCCAGACATTCATATAAGATATTGATTGGATCATCTGTGTACTAAATCTAAAGCCATTTAGACTATATTATGGAATAATTCCGAAGGTCTTGTGATTCTACTGTCAAGGTGATATGAATAATATTCAAATGCCTTCCCGAGCAAAGTTGGTTAACAAAATGAAAGCAAATCGATATTAAAGTTTGTAGTTCTAATCATAATGAAAACTCATTTTGATTTCAATTGTCACGACATTAGTCTGATATCATATTGTGCTTTCATTATGCTGTCAAAACTTTTTAAATGAAAGCAACTTAACTTGAAGTTCTGCTGTTAACGCATTGTTTAAAATTTAATTTAAGCTCATCTGTCGTTGAACTAACTATTATTATTGTTTATTTGTTTTGTTTAACACATTTTAGATCATTCGTTTCTTGCCCGGGGTGAGATTTGAGCTGAAGTCTTTCAGCTTGAGAAGCATGGATGTTAACGATTTACGCCAGGTCCGTATTCAGCTAAGCATTATGAATGCAATATCAGAAATCAAATTGATTTCATTGAAAGCAAGATTAGTTTTCCGTTTGATTCAACAGTGTAAAAGTTTTCTCTCATTTTTGCTGTGTTAACCGTTAAGTCAACCAAAATGGGATCAACTGGAGTAATCAAAATAAGTTACATCATAACAGCAAATTTTGATTTCAATTTGATCTCCAGCATTGCTCGGGTTATGCGTTAGCTGTAGAGATCCTATGGATTAACTCACAATGTTTTAACTTCAACAATTACCCCAATCACTAGGAAGGTTAAGGATTGACTCCGGAACTTATAAACCTTAAGGCCCACTGTGGACCAATATTTAAAACTCTCTAGTCATTGGATTATTTTCATAGTTTTAATGAGCTTACGCTGGGGGGATTGTGGCCACCAAACCACTCACTAATGAGACCGTATAGGTCAACTCTTGATTTCTAATAGACTTCTTTTAGGACTCGTTCAGTAGAGCATATTATTCTTTGAACTTACAAGCCTTTTTACGTGACTCATTGCTTTACGCAGCCTCATCAATCGAGTTAAAAAATCCAGTGTTCAAATTTTCGTGCCAACATTGTTCAACACGAAATTTTCTAAAAGTTTAAATAGTTTTGAAATGATTCGGAAGAAAAGAGGGGTAGCTTAAGCGAAGAAAACCTTGGGATTGTTTTGCATGAATTATGAAAGTTAAAATTTAAGAAATATTGGACGAAATTTGGAATTGAAATTCAGTTGCCATCTTGGAATAGTTGAATGGTTGGACAGTTGAGGGCTTGGAGAAATCCTCATCAACTGATAACTAACCTGGCAAATACAAACGAGCTAGTAAGAAGTAAGAAGTAAGAAGAAGATTAAAGTAGAGCTGGAAGCGTTTCACGTAATGTGAAGTTTGAATTATAGCTACTGATTGAATTGAAATCACATTGTTGCTCTTGTGGGAGATGGATATCTCATTTTCTAGATTCTATTTTTTGACGGTTTTTGGACCACATTTGAGCAATAATCCAAACTTTGCACCACATTCATCTAAAAATAATCTAGAAAATGAAGTATCCATCTTCCATAAGAGCAAAAATGTTATTTCAATTCCATCAGTAATAAGA